AGAGTAAAAGCAATGACACCTTACTTGAATATACTTATGTTTACTTATGTTTAGTGTCAGTTAAGTAAGGTTTGTAAGGTATCATCTGCTAAAAACAAAAGAAAACAATCTTTAACAGCAAACGTACAAACAATAAACTAGCAAAATGTACGCCAGACCACGTCTCGCGTAACAGGCTTCGCGATATCTCACGAAACACTGTTACGCTGCGACGCGCCTGGCATACATCTACCTAGGCCTCCGGCGCTGAAACCCGAGTCGGGCTAAATGCAGAGCCGTAGATAGGCCTTCGGCCCTAAAAGTCACAATTGTTGCTCCCCAGGGTTTTATTTCGATGAGTTGACCCTTCAGAGACCATGAAATATTTGAGAAAAAACATTGAATTGGTTTGGGGTCATTTCCGTGTGAAAAACAGTGTCTGGCGCCTCAACGGTTAGAGATAGAGCCAAACGGATGAAATTTTCGCCCAAAGGGCTCTACTTTGATGAGTTACCTCTTAGGAAACATTAAAAAAAAATATTTTTAAAAACGTCATTTTGGTTACCTGTGGTTTTAGATTTTTTAAAAATCCAATTTTTGAGCTAGAATGCTCATCTTCGAACTCGATCTGTCTTTTTATGATACAAAACGACCCTGAAATTCCCAGATCGCTCTCTCAATTATTTCTCGAGTTATCGTGCGGACAGACAGACAAACAGACAGACAGACAAACAAACAGAATGAAACTTTTCCGGTCAGTGGAGTTATGGGCTTCGCTAATCGCTCAGCCAACTAAAATAGAAATGTACAGACAAGCAAGAAGATCAATTATAAATCAAGCCAGAAAAACTAAGATTATAATGGTATCCACACCCTACAGATATGATAAAGAAAAGATGAACCCACTAATTGACTTCTATAACAAAAACCTACATGAAATTTGCTAAGAGGAGGCGGAGAAAGCTGGTGTAATTGATAACATCCGATATCTAGATGTAAATGACTTTATAATCAAGAAGGACTACGCCAAGGATGGGCTCCACTTCAATTACTAGGTAGATGTACGCCAGACCACGTCTCGCGTAACAGGCTTCGCGATATCTCACGAAACACTGTTACGCTGCGACGCGCCTGGCATAC